AGTGGCATTTGGAAATATTTGTCCTTCTCCAATAATCAAATCCTTCCATTTTGTGAAATTCACTTGTGGTATAGGTGTTGGGATCATTTCAATAGCACAAGGAATTGATGGTAGCTCTCCAATCTCATCAAATAAGATAGGTGGAGACAAAGATAATCCCTTGACACCTCCAAATAATTGATCAATCTTGTAGGAAATGACAAGTCAGGGTGTATGTATTGACAAATTAGTAGCAAGACAGTAACAACTGACATACTAAAAAATGACAATAACAATTTTGTTAAACTAAACTTACACATCTTGGTCCTCTATTGCATTATCCCTTGTTGATTCTATATGGTCCTTATTTCCATTCTCTTCTACATACACATGACCACTTTTTTCATTAAACTTCATCAAATGCTCTACCTCATCATCATCTACCAACTCCATAAATGTTTTTTTATCAAACACATTTAAGAATTTCAAAATAAATGAGTTACTTTTTTTCCCAAACAATTGATGATATAATTTTCTTCAATTCTTCATAACTTGTTCCCTCCTTTATATTTGTTGTTCTTACACTACCTCCCACATATCTCATATCATCTTCTTCATTATTTATAAACTTTCCCCCTATATGAACAAAGAAAAATAGATGCTTTTCAGGTGTACTCGTCATTGGTAATATAAAACTGCATCAAGAATCACGCAATTGTTATTGACAAGTCAAGCAGTTATATTGACAACTGTCGCAGCACACATTGACAACTATCGCAACCTGATTGACAATACAATATCCTATTTCGTGCTAAGGGTTTCTACCCACACTAACCTTCATCTTTTTCTTTCTCTGCCACTAAACTAATGTCAAAATAGAGCAAAACCACCCACAATATACCCAAAAATAGAGCACTCATGATTATCTTACAAACCCAACTTAAATCACTAACACACAACAACAAAAAACACAGCTTTTCCATTAATTAACTTGTGAATCCTAGACCAAAAACAAAAGCTTTGTAGTACAAAGGCAAAAATGATTTTTTGATTTTCTATTCCCAAACACAATCAATCTGTCAAGAAAAGTAAGAAAGGAGAGAAAAGAAAGTTTCAGACCTGAAGATTTGTGGAGATTCAAACGGAAGCTCTTTGGAGTTCACTAATGGCAATAAGGAAGATACTTTATCATCAATGGCTCCTTCCTTCTTTCCCCTCGTCCTCTCTCTCAACCATAACAGAGCCACTGCGCAGGAAAGTTAGCTTATCGTCTTTGTTCACTACACACAAAAAAAAGACTTTAGGCGACAACTTCAGGTGGCGACTTTTTTTGTTGTCGCTGGAAGTTCGCTGCTAAAACTAAGACTTTCAGCGGTGACTTTTTCTGTCACCGCTAAAAGTTTACTTTTTTTGTCGCCGTTGAAAGTATACCTTTGAGAATCATTGGGTTCACTTTCAGCAGCGACATTCTATGGTCGCCACTGAAAGTAGACTTTCAGCGATGACTATCAGTGTCGCTGCTGAAGGTCTGAGTTCAGCGGTGACTTTATAATGTCGTTGCTGAAAGTGTAATATAATAATATATATTTTATTTTACAATATTAATAAACAAATTCAATCTGGCTCAGCAGCAAGAAGATTGGACACGAAAGGAGGTGGTCACGAGTTCGAACCTTGACGAAGACACATTTAAGGTGAAAATATTTGGACGATGATGTGGCGAGGAGGAGTGATGTGGCAATGACGTGGCGGCCGGCGGTGATGATGTGGCGTTGGTAAAGCCAATTCTTCTTAGGCATTACTTTCAGCGGCGACAAAAAAGTCGCCGCTGAACATCCCTTTTGGCGGTGACAAATTGTCGCCACTAAAAAGTCTTTTAGCAGCGACAAGAATGTTGCTGCCAAAAGTGTCTTTCAGTGGCGACATTCTTGTCATTGCCGAAAGTTTTTTCAGTGGCAACAAATGTCACGGCCGAAAGTGTCTTTCAGCGGTGACCTTTTTAGTTATCGCTGAAAGTTTTCAGCCACGGCTGCTACAGCGACGATTTTCTAGAGGCGACAAGTCGCCATTGAAAACTTTCAGCAGCAACTTTTTGTCGCCATTGAAAGTCAATTTTTTTTGTAGTGGTTTCTGATATGCTAGGGCAAGAGAGTCATTTTAACTTTCTGAAAATTGTAGCTAAGTCCCTTTGGGACTTTAAAAGAATTATGAGATTTCAGAAAACCTTTTTGCTGTATATTTGCTTGTGTGGGACCTTAATATCATTTTCTCAAAATTAAAACATGGGCAAGCAATTTTGTGTGTATTCAATATTCTAGACCAAAGTCTACAATTTTTTAAAGTAAAAAAGTGAAGATTTTTCAAACATATATAGCTGTCCACATTTTGATACATACATACATACAGCTCTGGCAAAATCCATGTCCAACCTAGCTTACCAAAATCAAGCTGAAAGTGAAACAAACACAAAACAAATTCGGTTATGATTATGATTGCATGGCACATAGTCCTATGATCTATCTTAGCTTATATCAATGTAGCCCATTGTTAAGAATACTGTCAAATAAAAGTGTAACATATCTAATCCAACTAAATTGCATGGTACATAATCTCTTGATCTATTTCCATTTATTTATTGTCCTGCAAAGTTGAAGAAATTTCTAGAGCATAATATCTATCATATTAAATATATTTAACTATTTCTTTATAATCAAGATTTTCCTTTCTACATTTTAACAAACAACTTGAGTGCAAGAACATTTAGACAATAGCATTAAGCTTCAAAATCTTAGTTCCCTTACCCCGATCCCTCCAATTCCTCTTCAAAACATTTTATCAAACACTTTATATGCATTCTAAAAAAAAAAATTCTAACTCCTCTAGCTTCACGCACCCCTGATAAACCATGTTGTCATTGAGAAAGAGGAATGGTGCAAATAAACAAGGAGCAGTGATAGAAGAGAAGAATGGACGCCAACCATTGGAGGAGTCAGTTGAAGCTTAAAATATTTCCTTGCCTCTTTGCTATCGTGTTGGTCTAAGGAAGAAGAAACTGAGGGAGACATTAATCAAGAGAGAAGAGAAGATAGCGAACAATCATTGACATACTCACATTGCGATAAGAAGAAGAATGAAGCAGGAGATGGATTGAGCATATAAAATTTTTTCCAGAAACTTTCTTCCTCTCACTGTTCTGCACATCGATAGAAAAGGGGAGAATGGTAGGGAAGAGGAAAACCTAATAAGATTTAGTGTTTCTATTAGCCAAGCGCAGTGGAGTATTTTCATCTTTTCTGTTAATGCAATCAGGTCCCTTTAGGACTTTTAATGCATTACTAAATTTAGTGAGACTTTTTTGTTGTATTTTGTGTTGTATGGGATCTCAGTGCAATTGTCCCTAACTTTTTAGGGAACCCAAACACCCATGATTTTTTTGTACTCACATCCTACCTCTATTTTTTAATATAAGATTTATTTAAAAATTTTATTTGATAAATGTAAGACCTTAATTAACTTTATCTCTTTAATGAAAAGAATAATTTTGTCTCCCAAATTTATAATTTATTTTCTAAAGTACTTTTATTGATTACAAATATGAAGGAGATTTTCATCCAAGAGTAGCCATGATTAAAAGAATATATTAAAAAATTTAACTTATATTTACTAAAAATAATTAACTTAACAAATTTTTTTAATTTACTAAAATTAATTAAATAGTCATTATATTAAGTACATGAGATAACATAACATTCAAGCAAACCAAACTAAACCTAGTAATAAACTTCCTGTTATCTTGAACTAACACTCAAGCACCCATGATTAAATGAAGATTGAAGACTCATAAAGAAAATCAAGGACTCTTGAAAATTATTGAAAATTTGAAGACTTATTTTTCTAAAAAGTTTCGAAAGCTTGAAAATTATTTAAAAAATATTTTTATATAAATTGAGACGAAACTTATATTATATATATACTATAATTTGCATTTCACAAAATCATTTTTAAAAAACTAATTCAAACGTTCCATAGTCTCCAATCAACATCTTAAAAGTCCATATCTTATTCCTATAATTCATGCCACCTAAGCCATATATAATTCAGAAATGACGAAGCAAGTTTTATCACTTTCACCCGGTTGAGGGTAATGTTATGATGGAATTAAGCAATGACGAAGCAAATTCCAACCTTCTCTTGATATATATTACCTTTGGTTCTAATTATAAGAGCTAATTGATTAATTTGAGGAGATTAAAAAGATAAGTTAGTTATTTATAATAAATAAGTGTTATTTTTTCCAAAATATCCTCACTAATCATGTGTATTGGTTAGAATTACTATTGTTAGAATGATTATCTTGAAAAAAATGCATGAATATGAGAGATAAAGTTGATTGGGGTCTTATATTTATGACCAAAATAAAAGTTAAACAAGATTTTATATTAAGGAATGGAAGTAGTAATTCAGAAATGAGACTGACAAAAATGAAAAATAAAAAAGGAAGAACAGGAGAAGGGATAATGAATCAATGATGATGGAGGTTTCAAATTTTGAAATTCAAATATGCCAAATGTGCTTTCTTGTGATAAAGCCACAAAAATGGAGCCGGCACTGCTCATTAAGTCGTCACTGTTCATAGAACAGTAAACAAAAAGAGGAGCCGCAACGAAGAAAACATAACATTGGCTCGGCTTGGCACCGATTTTTGTTTAATATGTAGGCTGATAATACGCCGAATCCGTACGCTTGCTTGGCAGTAACGCGTCTTCTCAAGTCAAGGACGCAGCGGGTCATGACTCATGAGGCCTTCCCCTTTTTCTTTTTTGGGTGAAAAGAAGTCAGTCGTCTTGATGAGCATTTTGACGGGGGAAAGCTGAAAGAAACCATTGGATTCCAAAAGACGGGCAACAGGAATTATTAAACTTTTGCCTTGCTCGTCCCTGATGAGCTGCATTTCTGCAAATTTCTCTCTGCTTACAGAATCAAACATCAAGGTCTAGCAATATGTAGTGGCGATAGCGGCCATGGCGATTCGAGTTTCAGCACCATCATCCCATGGCGTCGCCCGCGAACCTAAGTATAGATATGACGTGTTTCTGAGTTTTAGAGGCGAAGATACTCGCCATTCATTCACTGTGATTCTCTACAATGCTCTACGCCGTAAGGGAATCAACGCCTTCATAGATGACAAGAAGCTCGGGAAAGGGGAACAGATCTCACCGACGCTTCTTAAAGCCATAGACAAATCCAGGATTTCCATTATTGTCTTCTCTAGGAACTACGCTACTTCCACATGGTGCCTGGATGAACTTGCTCACATCATTCAGTGTAAGACGGAGAAGAATCAGATGGTTATGTCCATCTTCTACAAGGTGGATCCCAAGGATGTCCAATATCAGAGGAACAGCTTTGGTGAAGCCATGGCTGGTCATGAAGTTAGGTTTAGAAATGACTTGGAGAAAGTGCGAAAATGGAGGTTTGCTTTGTCTGAAGCGGCTAGTTTGCCATCAGCATGGCTTTTCAAAGATGAGTAGGTTTCTTTATATTACGTATTTTGTTTGTAATGTTATACTGATAGAATTGGTGGTTGCTGATAATGCAAGACGCTACGTTGAAATTTTGGTCGGTGACTTTTACACTATGTCGATTTTTAAAAGAGAGCGGAGAGGGATTTTTAGAAGAGTGGAGGGAAAGGAAGCTGCTCCCTCTCCTGTCTCGCCAGTGTATTGGTGTTTTTTTTAAGGAACTCCTCTCTCTGTATGGTCGAGATATTTTTTAAGGAGGGAAAAAAGCTTTTTTTTTCCTCCTCTTTTTGTCTTTTTAGGATGGTTTTTATGTAAGAAAGATGAGACATAAAAATTTAAGTTTTAAAAATAGTCTAAATAAAATATTTTAATTTTTTTGTATATTTTTTAATTTGTTAACCCTTATCAGTTATAAATATTTCTATACAAGATAATTTTTTTTAAATATCTAGCAAGAGATTGTTGAAATAATTGATGAGTATTGTTAGATTTTTTTTCTCTTCTTCTAGTTTTATTGTTTTATGGGATAATTTCTTCTATCTTCAACACCTCTTCTCATTGAAACTCATCACTCATAGCTTATCTTATATGTGTGTTAAGTCTTTTGCAAGTTAAAGTCAATAAATTGTATTATATTATCTCCGGTTCTAATTATAAAAATTAGTTGACTAATTTGAGAAGATTAAGAAAATAAGTTAAGTTAATTATTTATAATAAATAGGTGTTGTCTTTCCTAAGATATCATTGCTGATTAAGTTTGTTAGCTAGAACTATTATTATTAGAAAAACTGTTTTTTAAAAAAATACATAAATATTAGAAATAAAATAGATTGGGATCTTATATTTAGGATCAAAATAAAATTCAAACAAAGTTTCATATTAAGGATCGAAGATAATATATATTTATATCTTAATAAAATAAAAAAGTGAGAAAATCTAACAAAATAAAATAACATTAAAATTTCTCTTCTTGTTTTTTTTTCCCCTTTCAATCAATCTAAACAATGGATTGTTAAAATTCCTTTTCTCTCTATTCTTCCCTACCCTCCATTTTGCAGCTATCCTTTCCCTTCTTCCCCTCCTCTTCTTTTTATTAAAATCTCTCTTCTTCCTTCTACTCGAGCCAAACACACTGTTATTATTGCACTTGAATAGGTCAATTTTTGTAAACGTGAAGTCCTAAGAAATCGTGTAGAAGATATGTTACTAAACAAAGCGTCTGTTGTTATTGAGAGTTGTACCTTTATTTTCTCAGTTTCTGAATCCAGCTCATATTTCTAATAATTCTGCTTAGTTTGAAATCCAATATTATTGCGGACATTCATATATGACTATATTGGCCGAAAAAAATACATAGCTATAGAATTTTTGGTTGGAAAAAAGGAGAAGATGATAGAATAATTAGCCTTTGGAGTACACTATCTTTTGTATCACATGAGTGTTGGATAAGCTTCAGTATTTGTGGGGATTAGTAAGATGTTATAATTGACATTAATAATGATTTGTTATTACTTTAGTATTTGAAAAGCATAATTTTGTTGTTTTGGATTTATAGTTTTTTGGTCTATTTCTATTTGGTGGAGCAGCAAATATTTTTAAATTAAATATTAAATATATACTGTATAATTTTTAGATACTTTTATTGTACGTGTCGAGGGATAAAGATAATAAGAGAGCAAATTGATGCATATTGATGTTATCTTTAAAGCATCGAAGTATGATTTTCCCCCCCTCTCCTTTTCAAGCAAAAAAGATACATGGTAAACTGAAAAATGAAGACATATTTTGCATGAATATCTTCATTTTAAAAATAGAAAATTTCCTTTTTGTAGATATGAATTTGCGTGTATTGAAAGGATTGTTGAAGATGCATATTCTAGGCTGCCTCCTAAACGGTTCCATAACATTGATTACATGGTTGGACTTGAGCCTCGTTTAGAAGAAGTGATGTCACTTCTGGGTGAAAGTGATCATAGCGTTTGTATGTTGGGGATTCATGGAACTGGTGGGATTGGCAAAACAACCCTTGCAAAAGCTTTGTATAATACAATCTTCTATCAATTTGAAGGTGCACGTTTTTTGTTTGACGTCAGAGAAGCATCAATGAAATATCATGGCATTGTTCGTCTTCAGCAAACACTTTTATCAGAGATTCTTGAGGAAGAGGATGAAGTTTAACAGTGTCGATGAAGGAATAAATATTCTAAGACATAGACTCTCACATAAAAAGGTTTTGTTGGTTCTTGATGATGTTGATCAACTTGATCACCTAGAGCAACTTGCAGGAGAGTGTGATTGGTTTGGTTGTGGAAGCAAGGTCATCATAACAACAACAAACAAGCAACTGCTAATTGCACGTAATGTTGAAAAGACATATGAAATGATGAAGCTAAATGATCATGACTCGCTTGAACTCTTTTGTTGGCATGCCTTCAAGTTGAGCCAACCTCCAGAAGGATATCAAGATATGTCAAATTGTGCGAGCAGATATGCACAAGGCCTTCCTCTGGCTTTAAAATTGATAGGCTCCAATTTGGCACACAGAGACTTAGAAGAATGGAGGTCTACATTGGAACAATATGAGAGGATCCCGGAAAGAACAATTCATGAGATACTAAAGATGAGCTATGATTGCTTACCGGACAATGCTAAGCGTATTTTCCTAGATATTGCATGTTTTTTTAAGGCAACGATATTTGTACGCATTGAAGACATGGTAGAAGCTTGTGATTTTGGAAGGTTTTATTTTGAAGTGCTTGTTGAAAAATCTCTTATAACTATTTCTGATAATGGTACGTTGGGCATGCATGATCTAATACAAAAAATAGGTAGAGAGATTGTTAGGCAAGAGGCACCATCAAAGCCTAATAAACGCAGTAGAATATGGTATTATAAAGATGTTCTTAAATTGCTTCATGAAAATTTAGTAAGTATCTAAATCTTGTCTATTTCCTAGTCATGTGATGTAATTTATTGTGCTATTTGGCCATGTCTAACACTATAACATTACTTATGTGAAATTGCATTATAGGGAAATAGTAACATTGAAGGAATAATGCTTGAACCCCCACAACAAGAAGAAGTGACTTGGAGTGGTATGGCCTTTGAGAAGATGAATAATCTTAGAGTTCTTGTGGTTCGGAACACACAATTTTCAACAAATCCTAAGTATTTACCCAATAGTTTCAGATTGCTTGATTGGAATGGATATCCTTCTGCAAATTTACCATCAGATTTTTCTCCTAAGAATCTAACTTCCTTGAGGTTATGCAATAGCATCTTCAGACTGGGGGAGCCATTCAAGGTACTTTGTTAAACATATTTTATAATTGTTTTCTTGTCAAATTTCTTTAGACATTATTAATATTCTTTTGGGGAAAATATCAAGTTACATGTTATTCTAATTTATAAGAATCGAATATAGCTACAAAATTGGATAGCTCATTTTGTTTTATAACTTGTTCATATGTTAACAGCTACTCCTTTTCTTTACAAGCATATATACATGTCCTTCCACCATAAAAAGCATATGCGTTTATCTAATTTCTGAAAGATAACTATAAAATTCATTACAATGATATTTATTAATTAATTCAATGATCTATGGTCTTCAATACAAGGGAGCTTTTTCAGAAATAGGAGGAGGTCTGTATATCCAAATAATATCTCTTGGTAGTTACTGTTAATTCAATTATTTAGTTTTTGTTTTGCAGAGGTTTGACTTCGTGACATACATGAACGTTTCACATTGCGAATTCATAATTGAAGTACCTGATATGTCTCAATTCCCAAATTTAAAAAGCTTGTTGTTTAGAGAGTGTTGCAACTTGGTCAAGACACACCATTCAGTGGGATCTCTCTCTAAGCTGGTCCACTTGGATGTTAGTGACTGCACCAAACTTACAAGCTTTCCACGTGAAATCAACCTGCCAGCTCTCGAAGATATTAATCTTAGCCATTGTAAGAGTCTTGACTACTTCCCACATATAGTGGGAATGATGGATGCCTTAACCGATATTTGGGCCGAAGACACTTCTATTAAGGAGCTCCCCCCTTCCATTGGAAGTCTTACTCAGCTTGAGTGTTTAAATCTGAGCTCTTGCAAAAGTCTCAGGGAGCTTCCAAACAGCTTATTCACATTGCAAAATCTTAAGTGGCTTGAGTTGAGAGACAGTCACACTCCTAGCAGAAAATCTTTGATGAAATTAACGCAAGAGAGCCTGCTAGTTACTGGCTGTGCTAGCATAAACTTCTTGAATCTTGAAAACTGTTGTCTATTGGATGAAGATCTTGCCTTAGTTCTGAAATTCTTCCGGCATTTGCAAGAGTTAACTCTATCGGGCAATGATTTTATGATCTTTCCTGAATGCATCAATGAGTGTGTTGAATTGTTGAAACTGGAAGTGGATAACTGCAAGAAGCTAAGAGACATGCCGAAGTTGCCATCAAAGCTAAGACACATAAAGGCAGAGAATTGCACATCATTAACTGCCAAATCAATTGGTCATTTATGGTCTCAGGTTTGTTTCCTTGTCATTTCTGTTGCCCTTTTCCTTTTGTTATGGATATGATAGCCAAATCGAATTAAACACATGTGCAACTAGGAAGATAGCTATTGGTAATTTTCGTTTTGGATATAGATACATCTTCAACCCTCAGTTTTCCCAATGCAATCATCGATTCATTTCTTGACCTTTGACCAATTTTTTTCCCTATAGTCATTCTTTTATGTAGTCAAGATTTATTGGTCCATGCTCATCACAGCTCCTCTGTTGCTGCAGCAGCGGCTATCATCATCATCATTATTATGTATTTAGATTCTTTCCTTAAAATTCTTTTAAAATTGCTGTTCTAGCTTCTCTTCTATCACTTTCCGCAAATTGATGTTCAGGTTAACTGATTGCTGTGTAACGCTCATTGCATTCGTGTCTCTAGTTAATTTTTGAATGCCTAACTTCAAATTATAATAGAACATCTATGAATGCCTAACTTGAACATGCTCTCTTTTTGTTAGAAATGGAAATAAGAATAATATCTCCATTCTTTCATCTATTGTCGTTTTCAAATCTGAAATCTCCTTTGGCATCTGATCTTTTGGTGAATCAGGTCAAGAATGAAACTGATCTCCTCAGAATATGTATGCCGGCAACAATATTTCCTGATTGGCTTGATGATTGTTGCGAAGGAGGGACATTGTCTTTTCGTGCTCGTGGGAATTTCCCTCGTGCCGCTCTGGCATGTCAGTTAGGGAAGGCAAACACGAGTGGGAGACACCGCTTCCATGCTTCTGTGACCATCAATGGTCATGAAATACCCAGGAAAGAAGATGTAAACTATGGGAGTACACAAGGTCATGTGTACTTCTTTGATTAGATGGGCTTTTGAGCTATTGGAGTGGAAGAGGCTTGATAGGTATCTGATCTTGGATTGGAATGATGTGAAAATGCAAGTGAAATGTTTGACACCAAATATGCCTGTAGTCTGCTGTGGAATTTATGTGTATAAACAACACACAAACATGGAGAATTTGCAGTTCAAGTCTTCTCAGCTTTCCATGAAGGCACCAATATGTTCCCTGAAACGAAGAGCGACTGCTTCTCTTCCTAATGAACCACCCAACAAAGTTCCTGAGAAAGTTCAAGGCTGCTGATAAAAGAAAACTGAATTCCATCAAGACAAAAAAAGACAAAAGAAAACTCAAATGACTCAGATAGGGACGCCTCTACTTTCTACCAGTTGTTATTTCCAGGTTTTTGCTTGTTATTAATATTGAGTTCTTCGCCTTTCACGTATTGTTGGAGAATTAGACGAAACCGAACTTTTCATTCGTGTTACAAGAGAGTATTTCCTATGGGTAAGCATGTTTGGAGATTTCTGTATTTTTGGCTATCATATATTGAAGAAAGCAGTTTTTTTCCCAAAAATGATTGTTAATGTCAATAAGATTGGTGGGCAGTCTCTCTTTCTTTCCCTGGTTTTTAGTTTTTAACCTGAGAGATTGTTGTTGTAAATTGGTTATGTATGTTTATGACGAATGGGACAGGTCAACCTCTACTTTCTACAATTCTACTGGTTTGAAAATTTTTCAAACTAATCCGTCAGTCCTCCACATAAGTAGTGTGTCTTAAAGCCAGTAGGATCTTGGAGTGTCAAGGGTTGGGCCTGAAGGGTTTGTATTATAATAATTCTTCTGATTTCACAAAGACTTGTCATGACAGGGAAGAATGGGAAACAAGCACAATTGGAGAGCTATTTCTTCAATCCCCTGTTTTGGTAAAGAGAAAAACAGAGCCTCATGGTACTTTTGATATCCCACCATGAAAAATTCCAATTTTATGCCGTTTTTTGCCAGAAAATTCACGTTTTATTTGCAACTTTAGATTTGTGTGGGTCTATGAGTTTATTGGATGGGATTTCGGGGCCGTGGGCAAGTGAGGTGACCGCGTTAGGCCCCAAAAAAGTTGTCAATACCCCTATTATGTATTTGTGTCATGTATTTATAAATGAACATGTGGTATGATATATTGTTTGTTGTCAATTATGTTAGTAAAATTTTACAATCTAATGATATGCATATAAATATTGTTATGAATCATTTGAAAATTCCTGTTACTCTCTATCTTCGATTCTTAAAATAAGAATTAAATAATTAATTTTCAGAATATTAAAAAAATAGTTAAGTTAATTTTTTTTTTTATAACAAGGAAAGAAACAAGCAAAAAGGAAAAAAAAAACAAGTAAAAAAAAAACTAAGTAATGCCCTTATCAAAGAATAAGCTTCTAGTGGTCTCATTGGAAAGAACTTGGAGACCGAATCCTATGCACAGAGCTTTTTTAGCAACTAAGTCTACTATCTTTGGGGATGAAAATAAATTTGGCGACCTAACTTACTTTAAGTAAACAGACTAAGCTATTTAGTAAATAGGCTAGGCTTAAAAGCTCAACCTTTTCATTCGTCAGTCATTCCCTTTTATATCTCTTCTCTTTGACTGCTCAAGACAGCAATACTAGCTCGTTCCCTCTCCCTTGATTTGCATTGTTTGTTAAAGCATAATAATTTTTATAAGTTTATTTTAGTGATGCTCAAATAAAATATTATAATCTTTGTATAAGGAGTTTGTCCCAATTTATGTGAGAAAAGCAATAGAGGTAAAATCCAGTTTGACATGCCATTTGTTATGCTTGATTAATTTTAGAAAATGAACCTCCTCAATCAACATATGATTGATTTTTTGTATTACTTCCTATTCAGACAATTGTTCTTATTAGACATTTTTTCTTACTAATCTCTTATGTTGGAGGTGATCGAGAATGAATCCCAGGCTTTAACATATAACAAACTTTTGGATAAGTTTGAAAGATTATATATGAATTTGGAGACATGAGTATTTAAGCCTATTTAAAGACCCACATTTTAAGTAGGCCTTTAAACAAGTTTCAAGCCTTGTAAGGCTTTTTAAAGGCTTAGGTTTGAACCTAAAAAATGGCCTACATACAGGCTTAGGCCCAAACTCAAACTTTAATTTTGGTTAAAACCTAGCTTAGCCTAGCATATTTTCACCCGTACCCATTGATGTGTCTCATTTGAATGGTCCCATCCCTACTTATAATGTTTTGCATTTCTGTAATGAGGGTTGCATCCTCATATATATCGACGCTTTTTGTACCACTTGCACTTAGAGTAGCTACTTCGGTGAAGTCAGTGAAAACTCTGACTTGTTGATAGCCATTATCCCAGGCTCTTCGTAGTCCCCAAATGCAGCCCCATATCTCACTACCCAGGCTATACGCTCCCTCTACTCAAGCTAAAAAGGATTCTATAGTCGTACAATCAGTCTTGCGTAAAACTCCTCCACGTCCAGCTGCATGCGTCAACATAGAAAAAACCGCGTCAACATATTAAAGTTAGTGTCGTCACTGGGGGGTTGGCGATTGTTTTTCCTGTGGAGTATGCTCGATGTTGCACGGGCCATACATCCGGCAATGCCATTAGCTTCTACAATGCATTTAGAGATGCCACTATTCACATTGTGGTGAAGTAGTTCACTGCGTCGTTTCCAAAGGACCCAGCACATGATGCCAAACAAGTCACACCACTTCCCACTCCCTATCATCTTATTCTCCTTCGTATTTAGGCGAACCTAGTCGTGAATTTACATTAGTAGCCCGAAAGCGGTGATTTGTCGGGGAAACGGCCAAGCTCATCCATATATATATCCCTTGCTCACGTGAAGCATGGAGAACAGTTTCTACTTCCTTTTTGCAAACAGTGCAAATCTCATCTAGATGTAACCCCTTTTTTCTTTTAATTTGTTACTGTTAGATATTGGGTCCGAGTTTGCCCTTGATGGGCCGGACTGCTTGATTCAAAAGAAGAAAATCTCTTAAATCAAGAAAATCAATCACAAATCAAAAGCAATTAATGATTGATTAGGAAATATTTAATCAAGTATTAAGTACTTGATTAATTAGAGAGAAATCAATCAGATATTAATTGTCGATCGTGGAATCAAAATATTATCCTGCAATAAATAAAGGACATTGTCGCTTCCTGAAATAAGAGCCACCATGACCCTATAAATAGGAGGTGCCTCTATGCATTCTCTTCACCCTAACCGTTGAGCTTTTTAATGTTCTCTTCTCCTCTCTCTGGTGCATTTACTGTACCATTCTATCAAAACTCAAGTAGTCAGCCTCACCCCAACCTAGTACGTTTCCTTTCTCTATCTATATTATTTCCTTCAGTTAGCAATGGGCTTGTTCTGGGAGAGGAACCATAAGTGTGTTTTGCACTATTGGGGAGTGTTCAACTTCCATTAGCTTATTCCCCAAGGGGTTCACTAAACTCCGATCCCCACTGAGAAGAGAGTAAGCACACTGAATTAGGAAGCGACCATGCTTAGTGTGCTTCCACCTTGGTTGGGACCCTCCATTACTTTGACTCCTTCTTTCACCTTATTCCATGTTGTTGTTATACTACTCCAAACGCGAGATCCTCGACGCTCCATATCAATTGTGGATACGTAGCATATCCTCCCCACAACGCTACTTACCTCCCACTACATTCACTCGGAGAGCATCCCTGTCAGTGATCAACCCCCAACCCAACTTTATCAGGAACGCCTAGTTTTGTAACCAAGAGTGTCAAACCTAGGCCACCTGTCTATTTGGAAGTGCAGACCCTGTCCCATGCCACTAAATGAACATGTCTATTTTCATCTATTGACCCCCAGAGAAAATTTCTTGCACTTTTGTCTATATCTTCACAACAGCTAATGGCCAATAAGGTCGTTTGCATTGCATAGTTAGGCATAGCTGAAGTGACAGTTTTGACTAGAGTATGACGCCCAAAATGAGAGAAGATGGCTTTTCCAACTAGTGAATATCTGTCTTACCTTGTCAATAATAAAGTGCTACGTATCTTTAGTAACCCTTTCCTGGCGTAAGGGTACTCCAAGATATTTGCCTAGATCTGCTGCTTGGGTGAATCCCAATTCATCACTCAGTTGTTGCCTAACATTATTGTGAACGTTGTGTGAAAAGAAAACCATCATTCTGGCGTTACTAATTCGCTGTCCAGATGCATCACAGAAAGAGGAAAGGCACTTGGTTATTAATGATTCGTACTGTTCAGGATTGGCTCTTGCAAAAATATCAAGTCATCGGCAAAGAAAAGGGGTGAGATTAGAAGGTCTTGTCTGTTTAATCGAATGGGATTCCATCGCTTTTGCTCAACCTGTTCTTGGATAAGATGAGCAAAATGCAAAGAACAAAGAGATATAGTGATAGCAGGCCCCTTGTCTCACCCATTGAGAGGGTTGAAAGTGTCGGATTTGCTTCCATTCCACATATTTGCATGATTGGAGAGGAAACACAGGCTGAAATAAGATTTATATTTTCTGGCATTTTTTTTGCACTATCTTATTTAGTCATATGCATTAGAATTACTTCTTAATTGAAAGGCCTTTTGATATGTGCAATTAATAGGGATTATTTTAGGCAAAAAAAATTATAAATTTGGGGGCAAGATGAATTAAGATTTTATATTTAAAATCAAAATGAGCTCCTTGTTTATTTTGTATATTTAGGATTGGATGTAGTAATGTTACAGGGAAAATGGTTTTGCATCTACTCTGAATTTTACAACAAAAAATTGCTATTGAAATATAGTTAGTGCCTTTTCTGAAAAAAATACTTATTAATTGTCAAAAAACATTTTGATGAAAATGTTAGCGATAAGATCAAACATTTTTATATATACGTTTATTATCAATATTTTTTTTAATTGAGAATTGATTTGAACAATGTGTAGGATGCAAAACCGTTTTTAGTATTTTTATTTGAATTAAAGAATGTAAAATTTTGGGTGAGGAAGAATTGAAAAAAATTGTACTACATTCTTAAAAAGTTCACAAGTTTCAATGACTAGATATGGCTTTGATCTATTACAAAAATCGAAAGTATAGCAAGCAATGTTATGAGAAGAAATTAATATTGATCCATTTGAAATATTAAATTAATATTGATCCAATTGAAATATTAAATTATGCATTTTCCAAATGTTTGCAATATTGCTTATAGAATATTGCTGGGATAGTAATTCAAAATCAGGTTGCATGTTGGTCATGTCAAATGTAATTCTAATCATTATAAAGCAATAGAAAATAAATGAGTGAGATGATTGTGCTATGGGCAGAGTGACCGCATAAATTAAACAAAGTGAATAAAAAAGAAAAGCAATCACTCATTAGCATTGCGATTCAATTTGAAAAATCATAAGTCGTCGGTATATTCAAACGTATAAGTACAACGCAGCAATTATAATGAACAATGATGTTCTAAATACAATTTTTTTAAAGAATAAGATTAACATGGATGGATTTTCTATACCTAGCTATTCTATTATTATTTTCAAAACTGAACAATGATGTTCTAAATACAATTTTTTTAAAGAATAAAATTAGGCCGGCAATCTGTATCGTTCAAAGCTTTCCAAAAGCATCAATGGTTGTAATAAAATGCATTGGGGTACAAAGTGATGTTCCTACAGGTCCTTTTTTTTTTTTTTTTTAAACCTTTTTAGTATACAAGTTCATGTATTGTTTCTTGGTAATCGATTAAGTGGTGACTTTTCAGAATAGTTAGGGGGGCCTTCATAAGGTTTTGGGTTTGGATCGGAATGGTGTGGAAATATAGGTTATGTGTAAAAGTTACCAGATATTTCCATAATCAAGTGTGGGGCTTATGAATTCCAAGAACTGGAAATGAGTTTCGGTGCTAAGCGGACAAATGAGTAAT